CTATCTATCTCTCATTTGCCTCAGAGCTCTGCTATCTTCCCAGGAAGCTCCTGAAGATGACCCCAAACTGGGCATGCTCAGTCTGAAGAAGGTGTGTGTGTTTGTGTGAAGACAGACTGTAAATGTGAAGTGCAAATGTGAGCAAAAACTGCAGCGTTTTGACCTTTGCATGTTTTTTTTCCGGCCTGCAGGTCTGTGAGGGGAAGAAGCGAGTCTTGTTCATTGGTATTTCCTGCGGATTATCTGTAAGTCGCTCTGATTGGTCAGAGTCTGAATTCTGTGTTGGACAGGGTGTTAATTTACAACGTGTGCTAGTTTGTGTGCATTTGATTTCTGGCTGCGCAGGCTCCATTTGTGGCAGGTCAGCTGGACTTCTGCCTGCAGCACCCTGAGGTTTACACTCCTGTGCTGGTTGGCTTCAATCCTGCACATCAGGCCAGGTTTGTGAGAGTGTACATACTTCACTATTATTGCATTAATGTTATATTAATAAAAGATGGTTAAGGTAGGCATTATTTTGTAGGATTTGTCCCTGTGGGTTTGAATAAACATATCTAATTTAAATGACGACGTCTTAGGGATGAGCCCATGCCAGGCTGCACGTTCACTTTTCGCAGTGTGGTTCAAAGGATGCAGGAGCTTGCCAAAAGTCAAAAGGCCTTCCTCATCAACCCAGCAGTTGGGGTAAGAACCTCAGCTTGTACTCATCGTACTCGGCGTGTCTCTGGACTCTGGGAGTGAATGTGTCTGTTTGTGTTCAGCCAGAGGCCATCAGTGGCTCCTCCAGGATGAAAGGAGGCAGCGCCACGAAGATCCTCCTGGAGGTTGTCCTGTCTGCTGCACATGCTGCCACCTTCACAAACACACCCGTCACACACAAGTGAGAACACTGAAAAACACTGAAAAGGCTTGATAAAGGATGTGAGGCTTTGTCTGCAGTTACAGGAGTATATTTTAATTTCACTCTTTGCACATGGTTCTGTCAGTTTGCTGCTGTTGAAACTGTGAAAGAGATTTTTAAGTGTCCCGTAAATGATCATTTTCCTGCTGAGAGTTAGACGAGAAAATTATATCGATCTTCTCATCTAACTCAGAGCAATTAATGGAAAAATAAACAGAGGATATAGATGTAAATAACAAGTCTAGATCAATTTATTTTCTAGAAATCAAAATCAAAAATAGATCCTGTAGTCTGTGTTTTCCATGTGCAGAGCTATGATCTAATTTTAAATTGAATAAAAACCACGATGGATCACCTTCTGATCTAATATAAAATTACCCAGCAATGTTTTCAGAACCCTTAAGGGACCTCAGATGTTTACATGTATCTAATAGACTTAAAAGTACATCACATTCTGGGATGAAAACAGGATTCACACATCTGGATTGGTCCTCTGTCATGACCTGAAGGCATCTCATAGCACCTCCAGTATCCAACTCTGCACCCAAAGGTACAACATGCAGCTTCCTAAGTGCTTCTTTGTGTTGACAGCCTTCAGCTTGCAGCTGATTCTCTCTTGACAGCCGTTTGAAAAAAAAACCTGGACATGCTTTTCACATTACAAATAAATGTTAGTACCGTACAGTCACACGTATCAGTGTATCGGCAGCACTTTCATGCTATCAGTGGTAATGTTGATGCAGAAGAAGGCACACGTGGCTGCATGTACATTGCTCAGTTTGATTCTGGGTGCTGTGTTTGTGTTTTTGCTTCTTTACATTATATATATATATATATA